AAAGGTATTTTGAATCTGAAAAGAGCTTCACTGAGTGAGAACTAATGTTAAGAGCAGCAGACAGTAAGTTTCACTTTCAGTTTGCTTTGTTACTGCCGAGAGCCCGCAGGAATCATAGGCGGGGTGTGTGAGGTGGGGAGGTGTGCTCCGTGACGAGGAAGCTCAGTTTAAAGACACGTCCCAGGGGCTTTTCTGGTCCCCACCTGTCGTTTTGCTCCTCAGCATGGCTTCCTAAAAACGCTGCAGGATTTCTCAAACATGCATGAATGAGTCAAAGCAAGGCTTTGGGCATGTTTTTTTTATGAGAGTATAACGTAATAACATGATATAAAACTCAAAAAAGTTGATTTTACATGATATTGCCCCTTTAAAGGAGCTTTCTGATCAAAAACCTGAGCAATAAGACGCCTCAGAGCAGCACGCTGGATGGATTTTTCTGGCTGCACACAGAGACTGACGTTCACTTTTTAAAAATCTCTTTATAGTTTAATAAAGTGTGTTATGAATTAACATTGCACACACTGAGTCTGACCCGTGAAGCATGAAAGTCACTCCCTTGTAGTTCAGCTCTGCGCTCTTCTCCCACATTCTGTTTAAAGGTAATAAAAGTTAATTTAAACCCTTTGTCGTTGCAAGATTCCATAAATTACACTTCAGCTAAACTGTCTGACACGTCAGTCGTGTTTCAGGTCAGCCAACGACCTCTTCCTGTGAAGCCTCTGGACCCTGCTGATGAGGAGGAGGATGAAGAACCGGAAGCTCGGAGAGGCTTGTTGTCAAACAACGCTGCTCTCAAAAAGGCGAAATGACTCCCCAGTTATTTCCCCCCCAACTTTGTTTCGTGCTTTTACTTGCTGGGGAAATATTTTCACGAATCTCTAATCCCGACCTCAGAATCAACTCTTTTTAAGCGAGTGCAGCTCCTCTGATGTCTGAGGGCTGCAGGCCAACTGAACTGTGTGTCAGCGAGGAAGAATTCTGCTAAATCTCTTTAGCTTTGAAACTCCCTGCCAGAGGAGCTGAAGTTGGAAGAAGCAGCTTCTTCATATCAAAACAATTCCTTATTAAAACATCTCATCGCTGCACACGAGATTATGACCCTGAAACTCTCACGAGTGGTTTCCTGGGATTCTCCAGGTTTTAAGATAAACAAGATAATACTTAATATAACCCAAGAACAGATTGTTACTGGGGTCACTCATTGTTCACCTTAGAAAAGTGGTTCAGTCCTTGGATTTTTTTTTTTTGTTTGGTTTTTTACAATATAGCCTTTGTGTCATAAAATTATTGTTTTTATATCAATGGTAAACTTTAATGTTATGATTCAATACAACAAATGTAAGAGGTGAAATATAATAATAATGGCCCCTTAGCAATTTAGTTGAATAGCTTTACATTAATATCGCAAAAATAAGCCAGCATTGACCATAAACTACATTTCACATTTAGTCAGTGGTACACGTAGTACTTTTCAGTGTTTATAAGAGGACGTGTTGAAACGCTGTTTCCATGCAGGAAATACCAGGTAGAGCTCAGTTAATTGTTAATGTTTAGCCTTAGCGCAGGGATGAGGAATGTTTTCTGTTCAGTCCAAGTTAAATGCGAAATAACAAAGTTAATTACAGCTGGCCCTTTGAGGGCCACCATAACGCTCATGTGGCCCTCAGAACATTAGTTTAACACCCCTAACTTACTTTATATTTATGAGTGACCACAATTTCCAGAGCTGGAGTCCTGAGAAAAACTTAAATATTGTTTTTATTTTGAATAGAGTGACCACAGATTATAGGCACAATGGGCCTCATACAAGAACATGTTCGTATTTTTATCCTAAATTTCTCTTACTTTTGTTCGTACAAAGGGTTCGTACGAACATGTCACGTCAGATTCAACAAACTCTTCTATCTTCAGGAAACGTGCGTAAATTTCCACCTGTTCTATCCAGC